TCTAGATAGAAATGTTCCTGCACTCCTGTGGGTGTGGCTTAGCCACTAGCCTCTGGCTCTTTAGGAGGTAGTTCTTATCTATAATTCTGCTGTGCTCCTGGGCAAAACATTTAACCTTATAGAGCTTCAGTTTCCACATGTGTACAATGGAAGAAGAGTAGCTTATTTTTACATTCTCTTCCAAGACTAAAAACCCACAAAATAAACCAATGGTACAATGGTAACTATTACTAATACATTTATGCCAAACACTGGCCTAAACTCCATTAGAAAGTACATTTTAACCATATTTGGAATATCACACAAAAAATGAGTACAGGCTCGACTTTCTTTTTTTTTTTTTTTTGTGGAACTGGGGTTTGAACTCAGGGTTTCATGTTTGTAAAGTACGCGCTCTACTGCTTGAGCCATTCCTCCAGTTCCTGACCCGCACTTTGAAAGCTTAAATTTTCCAGGTCAGTTTTAAAGAATACACAAGCACCCGGAAGCTTTCATTTAGCTTCCTATCACAATGGAATGGATTCTTGTTAATAGAACTTTCTCTAAGGACTACCTAATTGTCCTTTAGGGAGAGCTTCAGGGTATGGTTTCTTCTTGTTTTTGTTTTGTTTTCAGTACTAGGGGGTGAACTCAGGGCCTCCTATTTGCTAGGCAGGCTCTCTCCACTTGAGCCAGTATCCAGCCCTTTCAGCACTGATTCTTTTTCAGATAGAGCCTCATTTTTGTCTCGGCTGCACCTGAACCTCAGTCCTCTCAACCTCCACCTCCGGAGTGGCTGGGATTAATAGGCTTGAGCCATTGCACCAGGCAAACATTTCTAATCATAAATTACCAAACCAGTGCTTTTATTTTCAAAGTAACTAAACAGAGGATTGATTAGTTTTAAAGAGTAAGAATTGTCATTCAGGATCTAAGTAGAGAGCCATCTGAAGATTAGCTACTGTGGCTATTTGTTCTACCTAACCTTTCCCAACACTGTGTGTTTCTGTTGATGAACAGAGGTCTAATTAAAAATGATGCTGTGATTTAACAACTAACATGGGAAGATGTTTACAATATATACTTTTGGTGAAAAAGGCAGATGACAAAATGATTGGCGGTATTATTCCCATTTTGGCAAAACACGCTCATACATACACACACACATACCCATACATATTATATGTTTTGGTTAGGATACACTGTAAGTTAATAAATTTATAATTAAAAAAAATTTTTTATATCTTTATTATTTTTCTACAAAAAACACAGTTCCTCACATAATAATTCAAACAGGTGTTTTATTTTAACATGAGAGATGGGTCTAATAATAAAACTATAAGCAGATCCCTCCCTGGAACAAAGCTCAGCACCCTCAAGTCAACTGCGCACCTCGAGCAACATCCTTTGCACCTTGTGCGTGAGGCTGAGCTAGGATACAGGTGCTGAGATGCTTTCAGGTACAAGCCATCCAGTACCAACATGGCCCCAGATTCCTCCCTTCCACTCACCCTAACTTTCAGAACAATCAACTTCTCACTCAGCAGTATCTGAGCACTTTACAAAATATGACCAAAGGTCCTAAATTATGGTTCAGGATTTTACCTGCACATTTGCTGACTCAGGAGAATCAATGATAAAAGAGCTCAAGTTACTCTGGCAGAGATCTAATTGTAAGTTAAAGTTATACCACTCACCAGTGGCTCACACCTGCAACCCTAACTACTTGGAAGACAGAAATCAGGAAGATTGAGGTTTGAAGCCAGCCCAGGCATATGGTTCTAAAGAACCTATCTCAAAAATACCCAGCACAAGACAGGGCTGACAGAGTGGCTCAAGTGGTAGAGTGGTTGCCTAACAAGCCTGGGGCCCTGAGTTCAAACCCCAGTACTGCCAAAAAAAAAAAAAAAAAAAAAAGTTGAAGTTAGCTATTATCTTTCTTTTTTTTTTCTTGCAGTACTGGGGCTTGAACTCAGGGTTCACACCTTGAGCCACTCCACCAACCCTTTTCTTGTGATGGGTTCTTCTGAGATAGGGTCTCTTGAACTATTTGCCCAGGCTGGCTTTGAATTGCAATCCTCCCGATCTCTGCCTCCTGAGTAGCTAGGATTACAGGTGTGGGCCACCAGCACCCGGCAAATGCCAATTCTTTCTGATCGCAAAGAAAAAATAGCCCATGATATTTAACAACATCATCTGCAAACACTTTATCCTGTTAAGTATTTTTGTAACACAAAGTGCTGATTCTTGATAAGACAGTTCAGTCATCTACCAGCCAAAAAAAAAAATGAAAAATGGATTTCCCAACTAGCAAAAGCCATATAAAGAAAGAAGTAATAGGGTTGGGGATGTGGCTCGGTGGTAAAGCACTTGCATACCTGGGTTCAATTTCAAACACTGTGCAACAAAAAAAAAAGAAGAAAGGAAGGAAGGAAAGAGGAAGGGAGAAAAGGAGGGAGGAATGAAGAAAGGAAGAAGCAAAGTGCTGTGATAGCAGCTGGGCATGATGGCCCAAGCCTGTAATCCTAGCTACTTGGGAAGTGGAGATTGGGAGGATCATAGTTGGAGGTCAGCCCAGATAAAAAGTTGGATGAGACCCCCATCTCATCCAGTGGCTGGATGCAGGGAATGCACCTGTCATTCCTAGCTATGTAGGGAAGCACAAATAGGAGGGTTGTGGATCAGGCTGATCTGGGCATAAGGGGATACCCTTCCTCAAAAATAACAAATACACCAGGCACCAGTGGCTCCTATTTTTTATCCTAGCTACTTGGGAGGCAGTGGAGGATCAAGGTTCGAGACAAGCCTGGACGAACAGTTTTCAAGACCCTATCTCAAAAATATCCAACACAAAAAAAGGGCTGGTGGAGTGGTTCAAGCACCTGCCTAGCAAGTGCTGTGAGGTCCTAAGTTCAAACCCCAGTACCCTCAAAGAAAAAAAAAAAAGGGGGAGCACCTGGTGGAATGACTAAAGAGGCAGACCGCCTGCCTATCAAGCACAACGCAAGACAGCAAGATACACAAAGGCCACAGGAGGGAAAGGAGAGTAGTGGATACCATTTTCTGAAAAGTATTCAGAAGGACTCCTCCAACTGGATGGGCCAAGAGGCTCTGAGACACAAGCACTGCCTGAATGCTGCTCATATGCATTTCCCATAATGTGATGTCTAACAAAGCTACATAATTAAAAACAAATTGCTTTCTCACTTCCTCCTACCTTTATCATTTATTTTAAAAAGCCACAATTTAGGTGAGAGCTTTATCCTGTTACAAAATATTTTTAGTGTCAAAATGCAATAAAGAAGCACAAAATCTGCATGGAATTATTTTAATGGGGAGGGGGAAACCTGCCAACTATAAAGATCTGCAAAATGTGACCACTGAGAGCTTATTTTGGAGCTGAACCACTCCCCTTCCCTAATTATCCACCAAAGGAAATACATTAAGTTCTGTGGGCAAAGAGTGAAAACATGTCTAATTACAACATGTGTATTTGCTGGATGAACAATTTGAACATTCTTGAACTCTGGCCACATTTCTGAAGACTTGCCACTTGTAAATTTAATCTCACTGAAGAGGAAAGGTTAAAGATCAGTTGCCCTTCAACCAGGGCTGTATCAAAAAAAGACAAAGAAACTGACCACATTATTTACATGAGATACAAAGGAAGCCTGCTGAAAATTTAAGATGACCCTGACTCCATATCAAGTGCTAACAGAGGAAGTGGTTTTTATTTGAAAGTCAGAGTTAAAAATAGGACTCATTTCAAAAGTACTCTCCACTGGAGAAAACACTCATCCTGAATTTGAAGATACACATACCAAGGTTGCAGGCCCCAGGCCCCTGATCTCTCATGCACACCCACCTGTCTCTATCTTACAGAAGTGAAAAGTGGGAAGACATCCGAAGATAATGAATGTGATAATGCTTCTGCCCGTTGCTGATTAAAATGCTGGCGAGAAGGGCAAGGAAAAACCTTCACAAATCCAAACTAGGTACCAATGCAGAGCTACTGTTCATGACTCATGGCCTAGTTCAGATCCCTCCAACCTCCTCCCTCCCCACCTGGTCTTGAAAAGCTGGCTTCCTCCACGCTCCTCCAAGCCTCCAAAACTGCCCCACTTCTCTGCGACCTCACAGGGTTGTCCGGACTCCTACCTGGACCACTCTTCCAGGATCCCACACATCCTGTCTTGACTCAAGTTCCACCTTTGCAAGGATGATAAGGGTGTGTCCTTCTTTCCCATATTTATCTTCTAATATGCCATATAATTGACATATATTTTTTCTGTGGTTTACCTAGTTTCCCTCTTTCCCTCATACAGGCTTCCAGAGAACAGAGATCTTTGCTCTGTTCACTGACGTGTATCGTAACCGTTTAAAAGAGCGCCTGGCACACAGGAGGAGCTCAGAAAGTATTTTCTGAATGAATGAACTTGACAGTAAAACTGCAAAAGGCCTGCAAGAGAAGGTGAGATCAAAGGAGAAGAGCGATCGCGAGAGAGGCGGAGGCAGGCTGAGCCAGGGCCGGCCCACATTCTCCCCGCAGCGCGGATGGGAGGTGGCACACCGTATCCCGCCAGCCGCATCAAATGGCACTCAGGGTCAGACAGGGGGGACAGGCGAGCTCTCAAAACTCACCGAGTCAGTCCAGAGCCGGGCAGACCCACCGAGCTGCGAGATTTGGGCGGGGCACCGCTGGGGTCCTGACCGCGCAGCTCTTCCCCTCCTAGGGGTGCCACTTCCCCAGGTCCCCTCCGGTGTGCCCCGAGGCGTCCCGGCCCGCAGGACCTTCCTGGCTCCGGTCCCTTCTGCCCGCAGCAGCGATCTAGGCCCTGCGCTCGGACACCTGCCCGCTACGCCCGGGGTCCCGGCCCCAGCCTGTCCGAGGTCCCGGGGCGCCCTGCGGCCTCGTCCCGCCCCGCACACGGGCAGGAAGAGCCCGCGGCCCGCGTCCAGGCGGGAACAGAGCTCCGGCGCCTCCGTCCCCGGCAGCTCCAGCCCGCGCGGCGCCCTCTCACCTCAGGGCGCACGTACGACACGAAGGAGGGCTTGGGCGCCTTGGTGCCCCCGCTACCGCCGACTACCCCTTTCGCCAGCATACCGCCGCCCTGGGAAGCAACGAAGCGCAGGAGCAGAGGCTGCAGCTCGGTCCCCGGCTCAGGCAGCGGCGGCGGCCACCAGCACTAGCCGCCGGGGCTCCGCCCATCCCTAGGGCCGCAGCGGCCGCGGCGCCGCCCGCATCCGGCTCCGCCGCTGACTCCGCTTGCCCCGCCCACCAGCCGGGAACTCGCCGCCAGAGGCCACGCCCCCTCCCTTCGCGGAAGGCGAGTCTGACCGCGGAGACTCGCCTCCAGACACAGGCAAAGCCCGCCCCCAGGTGTCCTCTGATTGGCCAGTAGCCCCTATTTGAATGAACGCCTAGCGATACACCCTCTAACCAATCCAGAGAGCGCTCTCTTCAGACTTCCCCGCGATTGGAGAGCGAGGATGTCGCCCTCGCCCAATGATCCCTTGGTCACTCTGTTGTGAGCAGTTCTTCAGCATCTTTGATCTCTTCAATTACTTGTAGCTTTGGAATACAGTGTCCAAAGGTACGATGAGTGGAATCTCTCCATATGAGTTACAAATCCACATCAACGATGTTCAAACTTTAATATTTTCAGTGGAGTAGAGAGAGAAAGGAAGAGCGAGAGGAGAGACATCAAGTGGTTTTTTTTTGTTTGTTTGCTTTTTTAATTTTATTATTCATATGTGCATACAAGGCTTGGGTCATTTCTCCCCCCTGCCCCCACCCCCTCCCTTACCACCCACTCCACGCCCGTCCTCTCCCCCCACCCCCTCAATACCCAGCAGAAACTATTTTGCCCTTATTTCTAATTTTGTTGTAGAGAGAGTATAAGCAATAATAGAAGGAACAAGGGTTTTTGCTGGTTGAGATAAGGATAGCTATTACAGGGCATTGACTCACATTGATTTCCTGTGCGTGGTGTTACCTTCTAGGTTAATTCTTTTTGCTCTAACCTTTTCTCTAGTTCCTGTCCCCTTTTCCTATTGGCCTCAGTTGCTTTTAAACCCTGTTTATTGCGGCACCTATTCACAATAGCCAAGTTATGGAAACAGCCAAGATGCCCCAGCACTGAACGAATGGATTAAGAAAATGTGGTATCTATACACAAAATGGAATTTATGCAGCCATGAAGAAGAAAGAAATGTTATAATTCGCTGGTAAATGGATGGAATTGGAGAACATCATTCTGAGTGAGGTTAGCCTGGCCCAAAAGACATCAAGTGTTAATGTGCTCTAAGGCATATGTTAGAGTGATCATGTTTGTAACAGAAGTAGGCTATCTAAAGCCCTTAACAGACTTATTTTATCTACTCTCTGAAGTTAGCGATAAAACTTATTTTTAGCCAACATTACAAATAAAATTCATTTAAATTCTACCTTTAAGGGCCGGGGCCAAAGTTCATTCCACAGATGCCTAGTATGCACAAGATCCTGAGTTAGGATCTCCAGAACTGAAATAAATAAATAAATAAACTCCACCTTTGGCACTAAGCATGTGATAAACATAGATAAAATAGATGAATATGGGGCAGGCAGAATGGGTTAAATGGAAAGAGCGCCTACCTAGCAAGTGTGAAGCCCTGAGTTCAAACCCCAGTGCCGCCAAAATATAGATAGATAGATAGATAGATAGATAGATAGACAGATAGATGAATAAGACAGGACATAGATCTAAAGAATTCAGCCTCATGGCAAAAGCTGATAAACTTTTTCGATTAAATTTTCAAATGTCAGGCAGTAGGCTGAGCAGTAGTATCATCAGTGACTTTGCCTTTGACCCAGTCTTCATGTGATCCCTTTCCCAAGTCCACTTCAAGTAAATATAAAATGTAAGTGGCAATGAAGTTGGGTGGGGTGGCATATGCCTGTAATCCCAGCACTCAAGAGGTTGAGGTGGGAGGATCATGAATTCAAGGCTAGACTGGGCTACATAACAAGTTCCAGGCCAGTCTAGGTGACAAGTGAGACCCTGTCTTAAAAACAAAAACAAGGGGTGGGGGCATGGCTCAATTGGTAGAGCACCTGCCTAGCAAGCACAAAAAGCCTGGTTCAAACCCTAGAACCACAAAGAAAGAAAAAGACAAAAAGAAAAGAAATAAACAAGCTGTTCCAGGTGAGGCCTGGTAGACTGCAAGAAGCAAATGAGTGATGGCTATTCTCTCAACAAGCAGGACATAATATACTTGGTTTCAGGAATGGTAGAAAGTGAAGAAAAGTGGTTCCTCATCCATCAGCTGTGGGAAATTGTGAAACGGAAGATTTTGTTGTTTTTATTTTCAACTTCTGGCCCAATCTTTGGGTCAGAAATACTTGCTTTTTTTTTTTTTTTTTTTTTTTTAGTACAGGGGCTTGAACTGAGGGCCTTCACCTTGAGCCACTCCACCAGCCCTTTTTTGTGAAGGGTTTTTCAAGATAGGGTTTTGCAGAATTATTTGCCTGGGCTGGCTTTGAACTACAAACCTCCTGATCTCTGCCTCCTGAGTAGCTAGGATTACAGGCGTGAGCCACTGGTGCCTGCAGAAATACTGGCTTTTGACAGAAATTCACCAAGCAAATTTCCCTCTTTTCAACCCATACGGCATTAAATATTCCTTTATTCCAACCGTCAGCACCATTTATGGTCAAGATTGTGATGTAGTGATTCTGGAAACTTGACACCATCTCCAGAACCATGCATTTCCAGAAAACTGTAGCCAACAAGTGAAGAAAAATTTAAATACTGAAAGGTCAGCTATTTTGCTATTGTCTGAATATATCAGACCATAAAATTCTTATGTTTGAACTTAATCACCAATGTGATAGTATTAAGGGATGTGTGGCCATTAGGAGGTAATTAAGTCTTAAGGGAGAAGCCCTCCTGATTGAAATTAGCCTTCCTATAAGAGAAATCAGAAAATCCTCCTAGCCTTCCATTATGAGAGGACACAGCAAAGAAGGCATCAATCATCTTTGAACAGAACCACCTTCAAACCAGCACAAAATCTGTTGGTGCTTGATCTGAAATTTCCTGGCCTCCAAAACACTGAGAAACAAGTTTCTATTATTTAAAAATGACCAGGTTTAAGCCAGGCGCCAGTGACTCACACATGAAATCCTAATACACAGGAAGCAAAGATCAGAAGGATCGAGGTTTGAAGCCAGTCCAGGTAAATAGTTCCCAAGACCCTATCTCGAAAAAACCCATCACAAAAAAGGACTGGTAAGGGGAGAGGTGGCCCAAACAATGTATACCCATGTAAGAAAATGTAAAAGCGATAAAATAAATAAATAAATAAAAAAGACTGGTGGAGTGGCTCAAGGTGGTATAGGCCCTAAGTTCAAACCCCAGCACCACCCAAAAAAAAAAAAGACCAGGTAAGGTCATTATTCTGTTATAGCAGTATAGACTAAGCCATGTTTCCAGTGTCAGTTTTGCCTCAGTGATAAAAGCTCACAGTTTCGTTTTTTCATTTTTGTTGTGTCTGGGATTTGAACTCAGGGCTTTGCACTTCCAAAGCAGGCACTCTACCACTTGAGCCACACTTCCAGTTCACTTTCCTTTGGTTATTTTGGAGATGAGTTCTCACAAACTATTTCCCCAAGCCAGCCTGGGGCTGGTTACTGGGGTTTGAACTCTGGGCTTTAGGTACTATACTTCTTGAGCCATACCTCCAGCCTGAAAGTTCACACTTTCTTTAAGGGGCAGTAAGAAAGGAAATTAGGGCTGGGTGCCAGTGACTCATGCCTGTAATCCTGCCTACTCAAGAGGCAGGGATCAGGAGGATTGCAGTACACAATCAGCCTGGGCAAATAGTGTAGAAAACTCTATCTCAAAAAAACCCCTCACAAAAAGGTGTGGAATGGCTGAAGTGGGCTTGAGTTCAAACCCCAGTCTTTACAAAAAGAGAGACAGGGACAGACAGACAGAGAGGGAGAGATGTACACTTTTTTCAAGTCCTATAGTAAATGTGTTATTTAATGACCGCTTTCCAAATTTCAGCTTTAACAAATGGTCTGGAGTTTTCAGACTGACTTCCTCTTTCATTGGAAACAGAAAATTCCTTATCCTCCTGCTGCAATAGTCTTCAACTCTCCTCTAAGGGGGTGAGGAATAGATCTTGATGTAAGAAGCATTTGGGATTTTTCATAATCTTGTGATGCCAGAATATGAGAGCCTGATAGACTTTGTGGAGTTTTGTTTATTTTTGTTTATTATTTTTCAGTACTAAGATTTGAACTCAGGGCATCATACTTCCTACGCACGCTCTGTACTACTTGAGCCACTCCACCAGCCCTATTTTATTAATTTTTTAAGGTGAGGACTTGCTATGTTGCCCAGGCTGACCTCCAACTCCTACGCTCAAGTGATCCTCATGCTTCACCCTCCCCAGTAGCAGGGACTACAAGCACATACTGCCACTCCAGGCTTATTATTTATTCTTACTGTTTCACAAAATGTACAACCTAAGCTGGTCATGTGGTAGAGGCTTGACAGGCTTACTCTTGTGTTGTATTTCTGTCTTTGGCAAAACACAAATTAATTGTGTCTGCTTGGCTTACTTACCAGTGGTCCACTGGGATTCCTCTCCAGTGCCCAGCAAGACTGGAAGTTCTCAGGAGCAGGGATGGGCTCCTTTTTAACCAGCACAGCACTGACCACTGGGTGCCCCAGTATAAGTGAAAGCACTGTGAGGACTGGAGAAACAGGCATTCTCACCCATCACTGATGTGAGGAGAACTTGACGGGCAGAAAGGAAGGCAATTCTGGAATGTCTATTAAAATTTGTCTAATGAATTTCAATTCTAAAAATTATCCTAAATAAATAATAAGGAAAAATAATCCTACAAATATACATGCTTACATCCAAGTTTGTTGCAATTTTCTAATAGCAGATTAGAAACAGCCTAAATACTTATCAGTACGAATGGGTTGAATAAATTATGAAGCAATCATATAATGGGATTTTTTTTTCTTTCTTTTTTTTTTTTTTTTTTGTAGTATCTGGGCCTACACATTGAGCCACTCCACCAGCCTATTTTTGTGTTATGATTTTTTGAGATAGGGTCTTCCGAAATTTTGCCTGGGCTGGCTTCAAACCTCAATCCTCCTGATCTCTGCTTCCTGAGTAGGTAGGATTGTAGGCGTGAGCCACTGG